GGTCGGAAATTTCCCAGGTATAGTTTAGAGCCTTGTGAAACGAATTGACAGCGGTTATGCACTAATTGGGTTTCTCTCTTTTAGAGGAAGTGTGGCTGATACAGTCGTAAATATAGCGACCGTAGATCTCAGGTTTTAGGCCATTGTATTATACAAACTGTTATTTGCAACTTGTGAAAAGCTTGGTGTAGTTGGGTAGTTAAAATGTGTAAGGGACAGTATCCAGCCTCTTTAGGGAGACTCAAGGAGAAGTGGAACCAAGAAGCGTTTCCTGGAAGTACGCGTGGTGAGCAAATGACAGAAAGCCTATTATAAGCGGCAAAAATCAAAAGATGAGACCCAGTGTTATTAAAAAAAGGGAAAGCGAGCTCTAAAAAGTTGAAAAGTTGCACCACGACTTCCATTTCGATATCCTGAAGACAAAGCAAATTTTTTAAAGAAAATTTTAACACTAAGCTAGACTTCTTCAGGGAGTTTTACAAGTTAACAATAAACGCCTGTACCTATAAGCCATAGTTAGCGGCTTTACGGGAGCCAATCACCATAGACGCTTGGCGTACATACGAAAAGGAAAAGGTGAAGTTGTGAAAAATTTAAAACTTTTTTGGGCAAGGTGAGAATAATATTTGGGGCCACGGTTTCAGTTAGCTAAAAACCGTGTGAATAAAGAAGTTTTACAACTACTGTTCTCGGAGTGCTGCCCACAAGTATTGTTTTAAAAAAATGCACTACGACTTCCGTTTCGATATCCTGAGGACTAACCAAAGAGGGCGTAAGTAAAGTAAGTTTAAACTCACCTTTCTGAGACGTTATCAATAAATGCGCGCTTAAAGAATCGAAAGACAAAATAGCTATGTGTCTTTCCAACTTTGTTGATATATGACTGAAAAAGGTTATTTTACACATCTTTGTCCGGTAGAAAGACAAAGCTTCTTAGTTTGATTTCGGCAATTGAATAAGGATGAAATTGATAAGAGTAAGAGCATTGTTATCTTAGTGTTGGGAATACAAGAGAAAAAAATATATCGCAAGCTATTCAGAAAAACGTAAAAAGGAAGTTGATCTTTTTTTCTTCCCATAACGCTCTTATTTTTACAATTTAGATCAATTGATATCTTCTATATTTATGAAAAAGTTGTTTATTTAACATTTTAAAATACTCTCTTTAAAGTGCTTCCGATTTTAAATAAGAAACATCCTCTCTTAACGTGAATCCGGTATGAAAACAGGTGTTCGGTTTCTGTCGCAACTGGCTCTTCAGGTAGGCTTGGCCCAAATTTTGCTTGTGGAGGCAATATTAACCCGTCTACTAGTGAAGAAAGTAATTGTTAACCATTACGGTCAACAAAGAACTCCTTTATTTTTAATTCTATCAAAGTTAACACCTTTTGTCAAAAAGTAACTGTAACTGTAAACAATTTCTTCTTTTTAACCTCTTTACTCACTTTCCTATTAAAAAATTTGTTCATAGACTACGTAGCTCGTTAATTCAAAAGCAAAGGGTGGTTTCTTGGGTACGTCATTCCTCCCACAACTTTTCGGTCTATCATATTGTTAGGTAACAGTCTTGGTTTTGTTCTACCGCATCTTAACTGCAACATTTGGCATTCTTTATGGATGTGTGATACATAAACAAATTAGCTTTAACCATAGCATTTACTTTTTGGAGTTTTCAATGGATTGAAATTGCTTCAGTAGGCATAACTGGAGCATTGCTTACCCATAGAGGTGGTCACCGTGGAAACCGTAGGTCTATTTTCACGCCGAATCCACGATATGAGATTAATCCCAAGCAATACAAACGGTCTTTTTTCCTTTGAAAATATTTCAAATATTACAAGTATTAAATTGCAAGGTGAAATGATCGCAAGAATTCGACCTGATAGGAGATTAACAGAGAAAATAACATTTGAAGACGTTACATAACAATGAGATCCGCAGAAAATTCTTGGATATTTTTTTTGCTCACTTTCGACTGTGGTTGACTGTAGTTAGGAATTATCTGGAAAGTCTTTCGCTGATTCGCTTTCGTTGTCCAGAATCAGACACAATTTTGATGTCGACAGTTAAAATAACAAATTGCAAGTTTGAAACTACAATACGTACATATGCAAGGTTCTGCGTAACCTCTGTGCACTCGTTGTGCTGAGTCGTCCACTAAACAGCTGAACAAGGGTGTGGACGTGCCTGCAATATAGCTGTTCGCGCATGCTTAACGTAACCTCTTATGTACATGACTGATCGAAAAGTTGTTTACCGCTCTCCTGTTCGGTTAGCAATGCTCTTCGGCAAGGAAAAGAAATATGACCTGGGGATTCAAATATTGAATCGATAAATCAAATCCACGCCGTGATTTAAGGTAGGACTAAACTTAAAAACGCTTGGAATTTTTTTCTCGTAGTAGCCCTTAATGAACCGTCACTTTATGCAGGCCGTTTACTTACAAATTTTTGCCTTTTGAAGCAGATTATTTGGAAACGCAGTTGGTGTTTAAGGTATGGCTAGACTTGAAAGCATTTGGAAATGTTCTTGCTCATAGTAAACTCTGCTGAAAAGTCACGTAATACAGATGGCCGTATCTTTATATATCATGACTTTTTAAGCCGATATTCAGACTACGTACTTTGTTAAGCTTTTTTCCTGAGAGCGGAAATGTGAAATGTGGTCGATGCATGACCACCGAACATTTCAAATAGTAAAGTTTTGAGAATATTCGAATGATGTAGTCGCGAAGTTTCTTTGATAAATTATTTGTATGCCGAAATTCTATGAAGTTTTGTGCGCTTACCTTTGAATCAAGGCCGAATGAACCGAATTGTGCCCGCGCATAATTCGCGTGAAGAGTTCGGTAAAATTTTTTTTAAGTGCTTATCTAAACTAAAAGCCAAGAAAGCGGAGCTCAGTTTCCCAAGAACAAATACTGATCCAAGATTTCATTTCATTTCGTTCAGAAATATCTAATACAAAGTTAACCGTTAGAATACAGGTCCGAAGTTTTGAGAATTTTCCGCTTTGCAAACTGTGTAGTGACAAAGGGAACAACGAAAAAATATTATAAATGCGACCTTAGGTCGAAGTTTATTCAGTTAAAATGGCATAGTAGATAAAGATGTATGTTATATAATTATCATGAAATCAAGTTGCTACGGTGAATAGAATTTTGAAACTTAAGGTTTATTCCTCTTTTAATTTTAGACGAATTCCGCAAATTTGAATATAACTGAGCCCAACGAATTGTTTATGGTATATTATCATGTACACTGTGCATATATTAATTGCAGTCCTGTCAATATTTTTTTTTCACACAATTAAACATTGTAGTTAAATTCGGAATAGTGTGAAGACGTCGATCGAAGCTTGAAGATTGTGAGTTAATCATTTGATTCACTTTAGTGAGGCAAAATACAGCCTATTAAAACCGATTCAACAGAAAATATTCAGTTTAAGTGGTGGACATCTGAAGTGAGGCGTGATTCAGTGCGGATGTGGTTGAAAGGTTTCAATAGGGTATTGTTATGCTACACATCATTTGTATTGTTTTAGGCCGCTTGATGGCTGGGCAGGATTGACGAATATTATTAAACTATTGATAAGTTTCTCTGCTATCCGAAATCACCGTGCTAGAGGCTCTTCATTTCCACAAAATTTACATTTTCTTAAATATTTAAAGTCACCAGCTTTTGAGATCAGTTGATAAATCTGACGACTACCAGCGAGCACCCTCCAGCCTTTGTTTTTGCTTTGTATTGTTTTATGATTTTTTTTCTTCCTTACGGCCTCGCTCTTATCATAGAAATTTCAAGAATAATTAATAACTTAAAACCTTTTATTACAATAACGAATCTTGTGCTGTACTTATTCTTGGACTTGCACCCGCATATCACTGTTGGTTGAATAATATCCTGACTCAGTCGTGCATGCAGCTCTGCTTTGTAAGTGACATGATGAGTGTCATTCAAAATTGTTTAGTCTTAAGTTATCTGCACATCGCGTGTCAGTGACTGAAATCTGCTAGTGTTACTCATTATCGCTACGACTATTGACAATGAAGTACTGAGGTGAACTGCTGTGCTACGTGGCTTAGACTTCGATACTATAAAATTTAATGATAGTTTCCCCTTAAGATGACATCGTTACTTGGCTTTTCTTTTCTTATTGGTTGTTATGGCGAGTTTTTTTAATTTTCTAAATCACTTATGAGTTATGCACTATTATTTTCGCGCCTTATGAAAATTACACCGCCCCAAATTCACGTTTCACGCTCCTTCTTGTAATGTGTGTTATTTTTACTTCTATGTAAACTTTTTCCCCACGACTGCTTCATTTTATTCCCTCAGCATTTGGGAAGTTCTGTCTTGTTATATCTTTGTATTCATTTTTTCTCGTGTTATTTGTTAGTATATTTTTGTAGAGGTCCCTATTCTGTTTCTTAGGAATTTACTTCTTTATATGTATATTTGAAAAGAGTTAGTAAATCGAATGTTGAGTAAACATGAATAATTTCAAAAAGCGGGCCATTGCCTCTTCAAAGGTTTCACATCTTCGCGATTTATTTAACATCAATCAGCTGACTAGGTGTAACTGTTGTCAGTCAAGAAACGAAACGTAACGTGAAATATTATAAGAATTCGAAGCCTATTTCTGCAAGAAACCAGTATTACGTCCTTTTCTTCGCTTCACAAGGGTTGTTCAGTGTTTTTCGAATGGAATCGCTGTCTTGATTTTCCAGTTCAATTTTCAAAAACTTAAAGCTAAAGTGAAATAGAACGAAACACGCTGAATTAACTGCGATAAAATTCTTGCAATGTGGCAGATGAGTTAAAATTGTAAGGCCATTTGATCGGGGACCATACTTTACATAAATTTGTAAGAAATCCTGTAAAAATAATGAAAGGTAAGAAAATTAAGGGCCTCCTGCTTTTTTCCTTCTTTTTAGAAACGGAGCCATCAAAACGCAAAGGCAATCAGGTAAGTAAACAGAGCACAGGTGTGGAAATAAAGATAAGAATTAGTTGTCTCAGTTTCTTGTGGATATAACCATCCTCAGGGAAACGCCATTTTTTTATAGTGTGGATAAGGCTGCATATGTCCTGCTGTCTGCGAAAGTAGTCATTACTTATAACTTTTGAAAGAAGACACGCAATTGCTTTACGATGCGCTAGATTCCGAGTTGAGAGGTCCAAGTTCGAGACCAGGCCGGGTGAGTGTGTTTGTTCTTAAGCAAAACACTACACTTTAACAGTTACTCTCTCCGCCCAGAGCGAATTATTATGGAAGCCTGATGAGATGATAGGGGTAACCTTGCAATGGACTGGGATCCCATCCAGGGGGAGCAGTAATACTCTTAGGCGCTTCATCCTATGGAAACTGGGATAGGCTTTGGCTGGATGGTTCACTTGGCTCGAGTACAGGCTTTACCCTATAGCTTTTTAGTGCGTTTGCTCACTTTGGTATATCTTACACAGGTCGTTGCTCATTCGTTTAGTAATCCTCGGCAGCATCGAAAGTCACGATTTTCTCTCACTCAGAGTCAAAGCATGGAATCTATTCCTCGTCTGTTTATGATATGGCAAAACAATTTCGATAAAATTTGTTAAAGATTTACATTTTAAACCGTGTACTGTCGCTGTATCGTAAAGCACTGCTCACGGATTGAAGCGTAAAGAATAAATATCTCTTTCTGACAGAGTTCCTTCCGTACTGTAAATTACATATCTACTTTTTGTCCGCTCGGATTTAAAAGTCCAGCTGACACCTCTTTTTTCTCGAAAATTTCAGATATGGCGGAAGCTGAAAGCTTAAATTTTGACGATGAAACCTCGATAGGTATGGAAGAGAACATAGATGGAAAAAAAATTAAAACAAAAAAAAAAGATAAGTTGTCAAAAACTAAGAAAAATAACCTGACTCGTAAGTGAACTAAGAATATTAGGCCAGCTAATGAAGAAAAAATTGTTAAATTGACTAATATTGAGAACTAATGATTTTACTTTACAAACTCTTCCTCCCTCTGTTACTAGGGGGAGCGATGAGGGGTGGAGGAGTAATAAATAGGCAAAGCACAGTAACTATGATACACTGCTAGCGCAAATGATCGTCTTGTGATTTTGTTAGCTATAGCGAAGGTGTATCTGATGGAGGGTGACGACGAGTACAGAAATAAACAGCCTCATAACGCGATACACTTTTACTCTGAGGGCCTCCAAGTAAACTGTAGGGATGATCAACTGAATGCCGAACTTTACAGCAAAAGGGCAGAAGCAAGTTTCTACTTAGGTAAGAATGTTTTAATTTTTTTTCGTACTGGTTTAACCTCCGAATGCATCCCCGGCTTGACTTAAGTTCTTGCTCGAATATGGAAAGTAAAATTTGATAGTACAGATGAATTATTTTAAAATAACTTCCTGAAGTTCGTAAAGCCATAAGCTCAACTCGAAAAGGTTTTATTGTTACACTATTCGTTCCTTGTAGAAGCAAGGCCTTGTAGACGTACACAATAGAAGTTAATGAACATTCTGTGTACCTTAGCCTTCCTTTTAAGCATGATTTAAGCATATCGAAAGGTGAAGCTCGTTTCTGACTTTTGCCTTATCAGCACTCTCTTGTTAGTCTTCGACAAATATTTTACAATAAGAAATTAAAAAATGTTAAAGGTTGACCTGTAACCCATAACATACAGTTTGTGGCCATTAAGGGGAGGCTATTAAAAGTAAAAATATCGTTTTTCTGTTGGTAATCTTGCACTTCTTGATGTCTGCTGCTTTTTTCTTGCTCATAATGTTCACATGTTGACTTTTCCTCCTTTTGCTTCATCGTTTTATTCCTTCTTTTCCAGGTTATTACCAAGAAACCCTGGATGATGCATCAGTTGCTGTTGCGTTGGATCCAACTTTGATTAAAGCCATAGAATTAGGTAAGTTAATCGATAAATTGAGTCAAGGTAACTAACGAGGTGCCATAAATAAGACTAATAAATGGTGAATAATACATGGCGCACGTAGATATGCAATTTCTCTTTGAATGTGTAAATCGGTAGCTCAAAAATGAGTGCAGCGAACGAGTGATGTTTCGAGTTGAACGCAAGAAGACAAATTCAATATCCACAAACAACTATGTATTAATTTGTTTATTTTATCAACACCATAAGCCTTTGCTTATGAGAAAAGTCGACTTAAGTAATGATGAAAGCTGTGCCAGTCATTCATCGGCCTGACAGAATGGCACGAAAGGCGAGTGACGTGTCAGTAGCTGATTGGCTATATCAATCACACGTAAATTATTATCGTAATATTATACGTGTGCTGTTACGGTTTTTCCAAGGGATGGAAATCCTTGAAATAACCAGATTTTATATAATAAGTGGAACTCATGTCTTAACGTGATAAGATCAAAACTGGTTTAATCACTCCCTTGGTAATCTATCTGCCTCAGTTGTGTAAAACCGGAGCCAGCTATTTTCAAAAATCCGATCAACGATAGGATAACTGTCTGAACTGGAAACTTTTGCTAAGGGAAATATTATTTATCTTCATGCTGTCACACAATCATCTAATGCTGATGATTTGAAATTATGCTAAATTTGATCTCCCCCTCATTTATGTTCGAGAGAGCTTTTCCTCCGCATTATTTCACGCAAGGACACATTCACTTTCATGCATGTATCAGTACGTAAGTTCAAATCAATCAAACCACGCCTCTCCTTAAAATCGAAGTAGGTGTTTTTGTCATGTGACCGATGCAAAAGGGCATCAGAAGCTATGCACTGATTGATAACTTGTGAACAGAATTTGGTTCGATTTCATGAAAGAAAGAAGAATTTTTTCACTTCGTAACAAAAGTTAGCGAACTGCATTCAACCAATTGCCATTCGTCTTTAGGAGCCAGTGCTTATGTGCAGCTTCAATTACAAGCAGAGGCCATTCAGTGGTGTCAGAAAGGACTGTCAGTATCCTTTGTTTAGGTTTTAGGAATATATCCCCACATCTTGACTGTTTCAGAATCTCAATTAATTTAGGCGATTTGTTTTTATTGCTTGCTCCATTCCGATCAAAAAAGGCGTATGTTTTATTCACAAGTCAGTCAGTGCCAAGAAGGCATCCAAAGATATGGAGTTTAAATGGTCTCAGCAGTTTGGGTAAGTTCAATTATCAGAAATGAATTGCTGATTGGTATTTGAGGTACACTTCCACTGCATGAGTCTTTCAATCGACATTATAATTAACGCAGACCAGACAGAGTCTACATCATATTTAAACGGATTTGATCTTAAGATACGGATAAGAGTAAGTTTGCACTCGTTTGTGCACTCGTTCTCCTTTAAAAAAGGAAACAAGATTATCTTACTGACTGCTGGGAGCATATACACTTCTCCCTTAATAACCACTCACTCTATCGGCTAATTTGCTTTGCATTTATGGTTCATATTTGTCTTTTATTGACCCGATCTTGCAGCAACGGTTATGAGCACTCAGCAAATGGCTGGGAGAAATAAAATTGCCATGTATGTGTATGGGAGAGAAAAAAAAGTGTAAATTCTTATGGCTATACGAGTAAGACAAATGTGTAAGTATCAAGTGATAACAAAGAGCTGTAAGTTAAATGAATCAGTCTTTACTCTACGAAGATTGTAAAGTGCAATGACGTCTTGGAAAACTTATGGAGACTATGTACTGGAGAGGCACACGCAGTTCAAGAGACATTGGAGACATGGAAGAAAGAGGACGAACTGACAATAAATCCCGAGAAATCCCAGGCAAGAAATTGGAAAATCAGTTCATTCACACCAACGCACGCGAAACAAGCAAAAACAAAGGCTGGATCATGTGGGATGCCCTTTTAAATATTTAACTTCTCTCATTCTTACAACGAAATTTGAAAAGAAAGTGAGACTTCAAAACAATATTTGATGGGAAAATTGTTCTTCTCTTGATAAAACAATGGCCTTGGTAGAATAACTGGTTTATTAAGAGTTTGGAATGGCCAACTGGGGAAATGTACTGTAAACATAGATACTTTATGATGGAACTCTAATTGCGTAGTATAGGTGAAAAGATGAAATTAAGGGACCGTCTATTCAATCTTCCTCTTATTGATATGTTACCTGAACTTAAAAGGCGCAATTTGTTTTACTTAGGGCCTACAAAGAGAATCATACCGAGCTGAACCAATTGCAAAAGCACTCCAAGAATTAAAAGTTGCTAACGAAGAAGAAAAAGAAGGTGATGTGGGGAATGCAAATGAAAGTCTTTGGAATAATCCTAACCAATCAGGAAATTTGAAGAAGGCTATCGAGTATAATGAACGTCGTCTGAAGACTGCTAAGAAAATGCAAGACAAAATTGGGGAAGGAATGGCTTATGAAAGTCTGGCCAATCTCTTCCATTGTTCAGGAGATTTTAGGCGGGCCGTCGAGTACCAAAAGCTTCATTTAAAAATTTCCAAAGAAATAGGAGAGAAATCACTTGAGGGAAGGGTTTATGGAAATCTTGGAATTTCCTACCGTGCGTTTGGCGATTTCAAGAAGGCCATCGAGTGCTATGAGTGTAGTCTTAAGATTGCTAAGGAAGTGGGAAACAAAGTTGGAGAGGGAGCAGCTTGTGGAAATCTCGGCTTGGCGTATCGTGCGTTGGGAGATTTCAAGAAGGCCATCTATTACCATGAATGCCATCTAAGAATTGCCAAAGAAGTGGGAGACAAAGTTGGAGAGGGAGGAGTGTATAGTAATCTGGGAAACGTCTTTCGTGGATTAGGATATCTTACGAAGGCCATCGCTTACCATGAATGTCATCTAAAAATTGCTAAAGAAGTAGGAGACAAAGCTGGAGAGGGAATAGCCTATGGAAATCTCGGCTCAGATTTTCGTGCATTGGCAGATTTTAAGAGGGCCATCGAATATCATGAATGCCATCTACGACTTTCCAAAGAACTGAGGGACAAAGCTGGCGAGGGAAGGGCTTATGGAAATCTTGGCAATACCTATCACAGCTTAGGAGACTTCAAAAGGGCTATTGAATACCACGAGCGCGATTTAAGAATTGCCAGAGAAGTGGGAGACAAAGCTGGAGAGGGAAGGGCTTTTGGAAATCTTGGCATCGCTTTTCATAGTTTGGGAGATCTCAAGAAGGCCATCGAGTGCTATAAGTGGGATTTGGAAATTGCTAAAGAAGTAGGAGACAAAGCTGGAGAGGAAGCGGCTTGTGGAAACCTTGGAAATGCATATGATCAATTAGGAGATTTCAAAACGTCTATCGAGTACGGGAAACGTCTCCTAAACTTTGCCGAAGAGCTGGGACAAAAATCTGTTCAAGCGGCAGCTTATGGAAATCTGGGCTCGACCTATGACAAATTAGGAGATATTAGTAAGTCCATCGAGTGCCAAAAGTGTCTTTTACAAATTGCCAAAGAAATAGGAGACAGAAATTTAGAGGGAGGGGCTTATGGAAATCTCGGAAACACCTACTATAAATCAGGAGACTTTAAGGAAGCCATTGAATATTATGAACTTCGTCAAAAAGTTGCTAAAGAAGTAGGAGACAAAGCTGTAGTTTCCGTTTCATTTTATCAACTCGGTCAGAGCTTTGAAGGTCAGGGATCGTCAACGAATGCTCTTGAATGCTATCGTTCCAGTGTGATGATGTTTAATGAAATCAGAGCTGCTCTCGAGTTTAAAGACGAGTGGAAGATTAACTATCGCGATACATATAGTCATGCGTACAATAATTTGTGGCGTCTGCATTTAAACCGTGGTGAAGTAATTGATGCTTTGTTTTATGCCGAGGAAGGACGGGCCCAAGCTTTAAAGGATCTCATGGAGGATAAGTACGGGCTTAAGGAAGCAAACTCTCAGTCTCATTCTTTCGAAAGGTCAGCTAACTTCTCCCTTACATCTATTCCATCGACAACAGTTTTTGTAGCGTTTAGTGAGAAGGAAATCTTCTTCTGGGTTATAAACAGCGATTACGAGGTCGAATTGAGAAAAAAAGGAATAGAAGACCATTCATTAGAACAGAATGTGCGAACATTTATCACCTCTTTAAACCACAATCTTCTTAAGGAGATAACTGTACGAGATGGCATTAAATGCGAAAATCGCTCGCTTGACGAGCCTTATGATGTGACATTGACGACTGAGAGAGCCCCTGTCAGTGTTTCTCACTCTACTCCACCCGGAGAAAGCTTAAAGAAGATGAGTGACATTATCATTGCTCCTATAGCTGATCTGTTTCATGGAGATGACCTCATACTCGTTCCTGAAGGTCCATTTTGTTTGGTACCCTATGTAGCATTGGTGAACCCAACCCTGAAATATCTGTCTGAGCTTTATAAGATCCGTATGATGCCATCTCTGAGCACTTTGAAATTGGTCACTAATTGTCCAACAGAGTCCCACAATAAAACCGGCGCACTACTGGTTGGAGATCCGTGCTTAGAGGAAGTTCTTTATGATGGAAAAAGATTGTGTGAGCTCCCATTTGCGAAGAAAGAAGTAGAGATGATTGGAAGAATTCTCTGCACGGCCCCCCTCATCGGGAAAAAGGCTACTAAAGGTGAAGTTTTGAAAGGACTCTCGACGGTGGCCTTGATACATATCGCAGCACATGGCAGCATGGAAACGGGAGAAATTGCCTTGGCACCAAACCCTATTCGAGAATCCCATCGTCCCAGAGAGAAAGACTTTCTACTGACAATGGCGGATGTTTTACAGGCTCAGCTGCGGGCAAGATTGGTTGTGTTGAGTTGTTGTCATAGCGCTCGTGGAGAAATAAAGGCTGAGGGGGTAGTTGGCATCGCTCGAGCATTTTTAGGTGCCGGGGCTCGTTCCGTTTTGGTGTCCCTGTGGGCGATTGATGACGAGGCCACTTTCCAGTTCATGAAACATTTCTATAAAGAACTAGTTAGAGGAAGAAGGGTCTGTGAAGCTCTGGACCAAGCCATGAAATGTATGAGAGAGTCTGGAGATTTCAGGGAAATGAAACATTGGGCACCATTTGCTCTCATTGGGGATGATGTCACTCTTGAGCTGAATGGAGCCAATGCAATCTAGTTGCTGCTCAATGTAATTATTACTTGTTTTGGGATTTTTTTAACAGACTTTCTCTAGGATGCTTAAACTGCCTTTTAACATCAAATCTTACAAATATTATGCTTTTGCATTTTTGTTTGCGATATGAATCTCTCACCCACCTTCTAAAATCTCAATCATTACAAGCGGCAGAAGTTATTTTTTAACCATTTTATTCGAGATTTCGTAGCTGCCATAGCTGGGCCTTGGTTAGGGGCTTTTAAACATTGGATAAGGTCACATTTCGCAGTCTGGAAGAATTTGTAGATTAGTGGAGGAAAAAGGTGACTTTTCTAGCCACCATATCAGCTGTAAATTGTACTTGCCTGGAAAAAAAGGAGAAGAGGGCCGAGGTTTTCAAAAAACTACACCATGACTTTATTTTATTTCTCAAAATACATGATTTTTTGTTGTTGCTGACTCTTTTTTTCTCCCCTTAGATGGTTGCTGAACAAATAAGGTGGATTCAAAGTAGAATTATCGTTGTTCTTTAACCTAGACTAATACTGGAATGGACCTTGTTGTGATAAATCTATGTAATGCGATGGAAAGTGTTGTTTCACCTTTGAAATAGTTAAGAGACTGAGCAAAATACTTCATCGTAATTTAGGAGTTTACAAGCAAAATGGTCCGTTTAGCAAGGTGAAAGTGAACTCTTAACTCGAAAAGGTATACGCTTATTTTATGGTAATTCGTAAAGAGCCATAGTCACTGATATAATTTGATATATTTTAACTTATCTGATTTTAAAATCGGCTTTATAGCATAAGTATGCATAACTTTAATGTATGAATGCTTTTAATTTAGGAGTTAGTAAGACAAGAGGTTGGGTCTCAAAACATACGAACAATATATTTTATTAATGAGATATCGCATCATTTTATCATAAGCCAGATGGGGTTCTGGAGGTGATTAAGGCGACTGTTATTTGGAGTGAGGCTTGCTCACTAAGGTTCTTGATTTTCAAAAGGTACAATAGCTACCAAGCAATTTTTATTCAGAACTCTCATCAAATATTTTAAGTCATGGATCATCCAAATACCGCCGATGGACGTTGTGATAATGTGGTTTTTATCCTAATTTGTGGTAATAGTCTTGAAGCAATTTCATTAACCAAGTTTATTTAAGTGACTGGCTCTTTGTAAAATAGGAATTGCATTTAAACTTAAGTCTAAGTACGAAAATAGTTTGGAGATGTTGTCACTTTTTCAATAAGAAAATCAGTGAAACCACTGGAGGTCTTGAGCGCAGTTTGCTTAAGGGGATGGTTCAATACTTTAAGCTGTTATTTCTAAGAGACCAATCCTAAATAAGAGTAGCGAAATATTAGTTCAAATTTTTCAGTTAGAAGTCAATAAGTAACTTCTAAAGTTTCTCCTTCCGCACAGAAGTTGCAGCTAGATTTAAAAGAAAGGAAGAGGAGTCAAACTATGCACAGTGTTAAATAATGAGATTGCGGGATCTGTTGAACTAATTTGAACTTATAAACAATAAACTGGGATTGGTATTTTGTTTTTGGATTTGTTTAAGTTATCTTGAATATTGTCTAAACCTTTTTAGTAGGCAGGTGTTGCATTAATTGACTGTTGACATCAATCAAATAGTTGAAGGATTGTTCACGTTTATTTTAGAATGAAAGTGTAGAGGTATTATGTCAAAGGAAGTGCTTTGCATTTGGGATTGGCTTCTAAGTATATACGCGTGGAACAACTTATTCAATTGCAGTAATTTAGATAATACTTTCTGGTACGGTTTTTAACCCAAAGGAATATAATATATAGCTAACTTCGAACTTTTATATATGCTAAAACTGATTTTCTTTTAAAGTACAATATTCCTTTTTTCGGATGTTCTTTTGACTATGAAGCTGAGTAATTATTTTTGGTCTTCACTCTTTTGACCTAATACTAGCCTTTAACTGGCTATTTCTTCCTGGAATATTTAGAATCACTGATTTAGTACCATGATCTGATGTTTCGCTTTTTTTGCTACTTGAACTGAAGCCATGCCAAACCAATGTTTTACAGCTACCGGTAATATTAATTTTGGCTATTGTTTCACAACTTGTAATTAGTTTTTACTGGCTATCTCTTTCTGAAATTACCAAAGTCACTTGACCTGAGCTATGTCAAACGAATATTTTACAGCTAATGAGAAATAATATTTTCTATTGTTTCACAGCCTGTGAAATGATTTCCATTAGTGTAACTGGAATCACTATTTTCTAGTTAATATATAGAAAGTTGGCGTTATTGTTGTTAGGCCCTTCTACAAATTCGAACTGTTTACTTTTGTTATAAGTTATTATTACGCAATTACCTTTGAAGTGTTTTTCTGTAAACGTATTTATCTTGCACTTAAATGAATTCCATCATAGATGTACCTCGTAATTTTTAACGAAGCCATGAAACGTATGAGGGAATCCGAAATGTTCAGCGAAGTGAAGTAATGGGTCTCATTTGTTCTCATTAGGGTAACGTCATACTGGAGTTCAAACAAACGGTGGAAATCTAAATTCTGTCCATTGTTAGTAGACTCTGTTTAACAGTAAAGCAGTTCGATAGAATTGGCGTAAGAGTTGTTATGCTCCTTTGCTGTCTTTACTGGCATCTACCTGATAAATTATTCAGGACTTTTTTACAGCTGTTTTTTGTTATTTTCGTAGCAACTGCTTCGGCTGTATTTATGATCTGTCTTTCGGTGACGGGTGTAATCTTTACCTCCTGACGGACCTTTAAGCACGCATCACTTGTATCAACTAGAGTATAATGTACACTGTTGGGGGATTGAACTTAAAGAAATTCTTATCAATTTCAAGTCAGAATGTTAAGTGAGAAGCAATCAAAGTATAATTCAGCTTATAATGTAGCTTAGACTTTATATTCACTACTAAATGTCTCTAAACAATCGAAAACATTTATATCGAGAACTTAAACAAGAATGGAAAAACATTTGTGGATTGGAAATATAGTTTTCAAATTTACGCAGACCTTTTTTTAGTAATAAGCAAATATTTCAATCCTTACACAAGGATAGCTATAGAAAGTTAATGGCTGAAAACGAACGTATCTTGCTTGTACCGGGTTTTTCAGAATGTTCTTCACCACCGTTGTCAAATCCTTGCTGGCTTCAAATACCTGCAAACAAAGATCAATAATCAGTGATATTTTGGCACCATGAAAAAGAAGATGGAAAAAAAATCTCCTCTAGAACTATTTGGAAAAAAAAAAACCAAAGTAAGATAGGGCTCTCCTGGGCAGCATAAGATCTGAACAGCTAAATGCAAATAGACTGCTGCAGCGTCAGCCGCAAGCAACTGCAGGCGGCCGTAAGCTCCAGTGTTAGTGGCACTAAGGGCAGTGGACCGAAGTCGTAACAATTGCAAGCTTCTTTTATTCGAAATAATCTTTGCTTCCCTAGGAAAGTTGTATGAAACAGCGCAAATTTGATTTTCTCGTGTTCAAATTTGGCACGAACGTTGAGTGAGCGAAAAGGAACAAAGGCATCTGTAATTTTTTCAGGTGACTTTAATCCAGTGTTCACTTATAAACACCTTGTCAACTTGTTATTCTTGATGTGTCATCCACTCAAGTCCATTTGCCGAAAAGATAATCTTGTAGCTCTTCTTAAGTGCTCCGTTTTTCTTCCCCCGGGTGGCTACCGCACACACCCAGCGCAGTACTCCCATATCCACTTGTATGAAGTCATCGGTGATTTTAGAGGTCTTTTGACACCAACCCGTATTTCCATTGAGACGTCTTTTGTGTGCATAATAATACATGTAATGAGAGCTTGCAGTTATTTGGGCGTCGGGAATTAGGGTCTCACTTTCAACTCCCATCGGTTTGCAAACTAAACGAGAAAAAAAAAGAAAGAAAAAAAAAACGAACTGTGCTTACATTTATTACTATATAATATTTAAATCATCTAATCATTAATATGAACTTTTTAAGGTACTCCTGCTTCATGGTCATAAACTAAATTAAAACAGGTTGAAAGAGAAAAGTGAATATCATGTTAATGTTAATTGGTTATTCTACCTAAGTCTGTTTTAAAATGTGTCCAGATAGTTTTCGCCTCCTTTCTCTATGGACTGTACAAAAATTAATCTTCACCTTTCGATTCCATGTTGCAAAATTCATGAACAGGAGTTTCTGGTATACCGGACTTCAGCCAGTACATTCCGATGACCGCTTGTCTTCCTTCATTCGCTTTGATCTCTTCGCAGGATTCTCTGGGTAGTTCAAAAAGGAAACCGAGAGAAACTGAAAGGAAGAAGAGGACATTGATCTTACAATTTTTTCAAATCACGGAAAGAAAATGAAAAAATATGTTTAATTTAAGGGTAAAAATGATGAAAAGGTGAAATTGAGTGAATTGATAGAGAAAAACGATATATGCATTATATAATCAATCGAAGCATTTCTTCTTTTTCATTCTTTGCCGTTAATTACTTTCTTTGCAAAGAAGAGTTCGATGTTAGCCTTGAAGGCCAGAAATTTGTTTTAAATGTACGCTAAGACTTCTAACGGGAGAGGAAGGGGAGTTGATTTGTTCAAGTTTCTCTAAACCGGAAAAAAAGAACTTGATGTCAGACAGTGAAATATTTCGCAAATCTTCAAATTTTGCGAGAATGCCGGCCTTGGCAAACACTTCTTTAGGAATACAGACACCTTTTCAGTTTGAAAGGTTCCATAAAAGTAGCGAGATGAAAACATGAGGTTTCGGCGACGAGATGTCATTATCATCAAATGTAAAAATTATTATAAGTTTGGTGACGTTCTATAAAGAAAGGAAAGTGTGAAACTAAATTAGAATAAAATAAGATGGAGTAGCGCAAAAGAATGCACATGATTAAATGAACAGTTTCGTTGGAATGAAGTCTTTTTGAGTGTTCAGAGTCGGTCTCTTTTTCCTTATTAAAAGCATCTCGAGAATAAAGCACTCAAACTTTCAATGGGATTTCTCTAGGATGGCAAATCCCTCGTGAAGATTTTTCGGTCTTTGATTTTTTCGTTCTTAAGATGTTTACCGATGACGGAATATTTGTGTTCCTCAATGTCAAGGTGGAGGTGACGGTTCGTGTAGCCTATATAATTCGCACCACACAAACTACATTTAAATTCATACTCAACGCATTGTAAGTTTACCAAGAAGGGTTTGTTTCCGTGACTTTTAAATCTTCCGAGATTTTCCTGCTTGTGAAAACTAGTTGTTGTACGCTGTCGATTTCTTTCGAACGTCGCTTAGGTGTCGGCGGATTTCTGGTCTTTGAAAGGCAACGTGACTCGTATAGGGCTGTCGACTAGCTCAATTAGGTTTTGGAAACGTGGAAACTCTGAAAAATAGAATCAATGAGTTTTTCAGGATATTTCAGTTCTCAGATCCTGAAATTCTTTTCAAAAAAGATCCGGTGAGGATGACAAACGGTTGGCGCGATCAAGCATAGTTTTTATCAGGTATCGTTTATAGCGGAGTTCGCAGAGCGTAGCCCCATAACTATAAAAAAAAGTAGTAACCCATCAAGCCGAAAAAATTTGGTTGTACGACCGTACGACCGTACAAGGTGCTACTTTTGACATGCGTGGTCAACTGTACCGCGGGCACGCCAACGCCACGGCTTTGTTCAGTAGTCCAGTGGTCAGTGCACTGGGCTCCGAGTCGGACGACCCGGGTTCTTGTCCTGGCCGGGACAAGTTGTGTGGGAAAAAAAAATGCGAGCTCTGCTTTTAGGCTTGGCTAAATCTATATATTATCTATTGTCAATATGGCTCTGATAATGGAGGAGAAGCCCTTCGTTGGTCTTTTCTCTGTTTTCATTGTAAATTGGATCGCTGAGTGTGCATCATTCAGAACTGAAAGGAAATCGGTAGCAGCGGCGAGGTCTGGTACTAAAGCGAGGATATCGTCGATGTATCCTTTGTAGAAATCGGGAAGCTTGTCTTCATGTGCAAGTTTCTCCTCAATGAAGCACATAAAGGTGTTAGCCAATAGTGATCCTAATGGTGAGCACATGGCAACGCCGTCTATTTGCTTGTACAAATCACCGTTAAACTGGAAGAGTTTGTCTTTAGTTGCGATTGTAAGCATCTCGACTAGGTCGCCTTCACAGATGTTAAGTTTGTGTGTGTTGTTAAACCAGTTTCCATCAAATGCTTTCTCTGCTCAAATCTGAGTAGTTTCTTCTTAGAGGTACGTGAGTAAAAAGGGCTGTGACGTCATACGTCATGGTCGATAATGGTTTTAACTTCTTGTCTAGCCACTTCACTATGGCCCATCTTGTCTGCAATAAATAAGTACAACTACGCTGTGGCAAAGTGGCTAGACGAGAGGTTAAAACCATTATCGCGCAATGAGTACACGATATCCGACATCTTTCAATTCTCCGAAGAGATCCAACATCTACAAATCAGTGAGAATGATTCCCAGTCGTAGGTGTAAAGCCAGATTTGGATCAAGGGTGAAAAGCAGGAAAAAAAAAGGAACTAGTTGATAATAGTTAATCAAGTTGTTTTTTAATTTATTTTCGTGAAGGACGCAAGAGATGGAGTGTTTTTGATTTCGAAACTATGGATATTGAAAACTTAGGACCTTAAAAGGAGATGGAAAACTGCTCCATGCAACCATCATCAAATTTAATAAAGTATTCCCATTTAAAAAGGCACCCAAACCACTCCTTCTTGTCCATAAAGAAAAATAGTACAATAAAGGGTGCAATCCTGCCAAAGCCTTTGTGTCTTTTATGCGTTTCCAGTACATTATGAC